AAAGACTGGTAACGAAATGGGGGCCAACAGCCCAAGCGCCACGGCGTGCAGGCGGGCAGGCACGTCCCTGTGCGGAGATGGAGCGATGAAAATGAATTGATGGATTGATGATGGGTCGTTGGCAATCGGTGAGACTTTGCAAGATAAACCGGGCCTCGTGACCATCACATAGATAGACCATGCCTCACTGTGTTAATGATGATGATGATAACGACGCCGGTGATTAGGTAATTCACGGCTCCTCTATCTGGGGAATAAATGCAACCCACCAATTAAGAGACATGTTGGTCCATTCTTCATTCATATCTGTTAATAATACTACATAAAAATATATAATCCATTTATTACTACTACTACTATGACGGCGAGTCTTGTGTTATTTTCGGAACTCGAGGATGCGGCTGCATTATTAACGCGGCTGCATTATTGATGCGAACACAGTCGAGATCATTGCAAAGTTTAGACGTCAGCCTCGCGGCGCTGCTGACTCGCGGGTTGTCTGTCTGTCTGCCGGCCTCGCTCGCTCGCTCGTACACGGACCGCCACACACAAAGACAAAGATCCCCCAGGTAGCGTTTAACAGACCGTAGGAGGCACGCGCCGTTCGTGAGTAGCGCCTGTGAAGGTTGGCACGGTACACGAGACGGGTGGGTGGCCAGCACCACGCCCGGTCATCTTTCTCTCCCCAGTGGCGATAGGTTTACACATCGTGGCACGTGCCCCTTTTAAGGCTGAGTCGACCGAGGGGGGACTCCCAGGACTGATTCGGATAATAATAATAGTAATAATAATTATTACTGGTGGTGCTGGCCGTTTGTATTGATCGAACTCGGATCGTCGGGTTTCGTAGCGCAGAGCGCTAGGCACTGCACTACTACCACTCCGGCCACAAAAGACAACAATCCCCCATATAGCCTTAACAGACTGTTGGGGAAAGTGCTGTTAGCGAGCACCCGATTGCCTTTGTCTCCCTAGTGGCGATGTTTACACACCGCACCAGGTACTAATCTGAGGCTGAATCGAATTAGGGGAGGCCCAGGACCTGTTCGAATAATCATCACTGGTGGTGTCGGCAGTGGGCGCGAATCGAACTCGGGTGGCCGGGTTTGGTAGCGCGGCGCGCTAACCGCTACACTACTACCGCCCCCCAACCACACACACACACACCACGGACCCCACGCATTGCTTTGAGTGAGATCAGATCCATGGACAGCGCCTAGACGTGCGTGGCAGTACGGACGTTGCAATGCTGTATCCAACCAGCTTACACAATTCGCTGTCCACGGTGCTGAGTTCACTTCAATGAAATACGCCAAAGACAAAGATTCCCCGTGTAGAAATATCACGGGCTGTATGGACACGCGCTGTCATAGCGAGTAAGCACCCGAATAAGGCCGGCACAGCGCACGAGGGGTTGGGTGGCCAGCTCCACCTTTGTCTCCCGAGTGCTGATGTTTACATTCTGCTTCAGCTACTCATTTGAGGCTGAGCCGACCTACGAGAGGCCCAAAGAATGATCGTTATTGGTCGTGGAGAGGGAATAACTCTCGGGTCCCCCTGATCGCAGCGCATTGCACAAAACCACTGCGCCACAGCTCCCCACTTAATCCACACACCGGCACACACACACAGGCATACATGAACGAACAAACACACACACACACACGCGCGCGCGCGCGGCGTTAATATTTAAATTCTGCGGCATTTCAAACTCGGGGCGGTGTGTTTATGGGGTGGGAGTAAGTTTGGAGACCCGGACCATGAATACGCCCCACCCCTAACCTCTCTACCCCGAGCCCCCCCCCCCTTTCCATGTCCCCCACCCTCGCCCTCCTCTCCCGCACCCCCAACACGTTCACCCCCTGCGGTGATTGCCCGAAGACTTGACGAGCCACGTAATCATTTTACCCTGGCCGCAGCAATCAGCTGCGCTCACGTGACCTCTCCTTGCAGCCACTAGAGGCGCTACGATTCACCGACGGGATTTATTTTCTTCTTCATAAAGCGAGCGTTCTGCACGCAATCGTGGCCGTGTCCCTCCCTCCCCTCCCTCCCCTCCCTCCCCTCCCTCCCTCCAGCAATCCAGCCAGCCAGAAAGCCAAACTCGTTTTTTGTAATATAGTTATGAGACGTAATGTCGTGACAATGCTGCATTGGCAGTGGTTCACAATGCAACATCACCACGAAACTTACTCGAACAACGATCGTCGATCCCAACACCGTGTGGCGCGCGTGTGCGTGTGTGTGTGTCCTTAAACGTGCAATACAATAAAACAGATGACCTTTCGAACGATGGCACCTTTCTTCAGAGCACGCGTCGAAGAGTCCACAATCGGGTGCGGAATTTACGTTGGCGCCTATCAAATCGGTCCTCGAAATTTTATTTGAGACTCCGAATCGCGACGTTTTTTTATTTTGTTTTTTACCATCGAGTCGAAATCGGTGGAGGAAACGGGGGGGTGAGAAGGGGGTTGCGTGCTGTTTGTCGTCCCGACCTTCATGCCTGTGTTCAGCAAAGTTGTATTCACCGTTTAAAAAAGAATAAAATTGTTAACAATCTTTACATTTTAATTTAAACCGGTTATTGGGTGAGACTGCAGTGGTGGCAGTGGTGACCAAGCAATGTGCTACGGAGAAGGCCCATTGCCCGAAACGTTGCCTATTATATGTTTTTATATATATATTATATAATCGTTATACGTATATATGAATATATATACATACATAATCACCTTTCAGGTAACATTTCATATTTTTTGTTGTTATGATTTGTTATCGATATATTTATTTACGTGATAAACACACGGCGCTTTGAGTATTTTGAAGGCGCTTTATAAATGCCGCGTATTATTATTATAGCAATAATTTTTATGAAATTACAAAAATATGTAAAGCCTCAACTTCGCCGTCTCTCCCGTTCGCACTGCTCCTCGCCCCGTTGTCCGTTGCCAGGAGCAGTTGAGATGTCGCATGCCGCGTAATAATTTGCATGCAATTTGCGTTCATTGTAAATAATTAATTCTTAAGCACATGCTTAAATGCGCGCATCAATTTAGTGCTCAATGAGGCGGCGGAGACTACATTTGGTGGCTGGTGATGGTGGTTGTGATTACCACCGCATGCCCAAGCGGCTTCTGTTCGGACGGATAGAGAGGGGGGGGGGGGGTGGAGGGCTAATCGTGCGCGGCACTGGGCCGGAAAGGATAATTAGCTGATGCGGTACAGGAGAATGTGAAGCTGAGTGGATGAACCGATGGCTGGTACCGGTGGTGTCGAGATCTACCTCTGTGGAGGCGGAGGCTCGCGAGGAACGCTACTGGGCAGTTGGAGGCAGTCGCCCTCCAGCAACAGCGGAGGGTGGAGGAGCTACGCTGCTCACAACAACGAGCGGTCGCGTCCGGGGGGGTTAAATCGCAGCGAGTTGGCACAGCGGGGAGCACAGGTGGTGCGTATGCCAGTGGTCATCTCAGTCAGTCAACCCACGGCACCTGGGTCTGACCCGTGACCAGCAGCGAGCACAGTGCCTGGCACAGACGCTGTGACGACGTCACCGCCACTTAGTGGCGAACGGCGGTCGTTGCTGTTGTGATTGTGGTGGTGGTGTGATGTTGATGTCCGTTATGGACAGCTCTGAGGTGGTCAGGAGATGGCAGTGCAAGAAGTAGGATCGTGAATCTGTCTGTGCGGAGTTGTCTCGGATTCATAAACCTCGCGCGCGTGTGTCTGCTGGGGATTTGCTCCGGGATTCTCCGATTTTTCCTCCACCACACGAAGCTAAACTCTCATCACTCAGGGAATTCATGGCCCACACTATCCCACCGTAGCAGCACCCTCTTGGGCAATGAATCATAATGTGCATTAATGCTGAAGGAATCAGATGAGCTATGAAGCTCTTTTTTCACAGATGTCCAGTAGGCGCGGGTAATAACGTTACAACACTAAACAATAAAATATATATACACGATAGTAGTGCAAAGTACAGGAAAGATAAACAAATCCCCCAAAACACATACGAATAAAACTAAACCATCCCCATCCTACCAGGCAAAGCCCACTGAGGTCTTCAATACATTTTCAGAAGCGACCTGGCCACAAATGATAGTTCCTGAGACTCCGTGAGGCTATGCTGGGGAAGTAAATAGACACATTCTTAGCTCTTTCAGGTGTGATGACGACCGTTTGTGTTATGGTCGAAACGTCGTGAGAATTTTTATTGTTTTATATATATTTTATTATTTTATTGTTTCCCTTCAACGTGACTTTACCGAAAGAGCTAAGAATATGAATTACTGCAGTCACGAAAGCTTTAAATCAAAATTTAGTAAATAGACACGTTTATAATATAGTATTATGTTACACTCCGTCACGTGGGCATACGTATACCAATACAGCGTTGGGGGTTAGTGGATCACACAGGGATGGGAGTACAGTATCTCAGGTTCTAGGTTCAAGGGTTCTTATGACAAAGGTGGTGATGATCCTGTTGCTGCTGCTGATGGTGATGATGTTGCTGATGGCGATGCTGCTGCTGCTACTGATGATGATGGCGAACAGCTGCTGTTGCTGTTGATTGTGGCCTCACTATATGTATGTTAAACTTCGTTCGCACCGCACGTAGCCAACTGCGTTAATCGGAGGTGCGTTAATGATATTGCTGCTGCTGCTGATGATGATATTGCTGCTGCTGATGATGATATTGCTGCTGTCGATGATGATATTGCTGCTGCTGATGATGATGATATTGCTGCTGATGATGATATTGCTGCTGTTGATGATGATATTGCTGCTGATGATGATATTGCTGCTGCTGCTGATGATGATGATGATATTGCTGCTGTTGATGATATTGCTGCTGCTGCTGATGATGATATTGAACCACTGCCATCCCTGTTGTTGCTGCCTGCTGCTTCTGCTGCTGCTAGTGCTACCGCTGTTGCTGCTGGTGATTCTGATGTTGACGCTGATCATTATCCCCACTCTCGCTCCCCCCTAACCGCCAGTGATTTCCACAACCGTCAAATTCAAAGCTTCCCACAAGTCCGCCTGCTCGTCAGCAGCCCCGGGTCCTCGTTCTCCTCTACCACCACTAGGATCATCATCATCATCACCACCGCCACCTTCTCACCAGTCGCCCGTATTTGAGGACGTTATATCTGGCTACAAGAGAGATGCGTTCGGCCGGCTTCGACCTCCCGCTTCTCGGGGGAGCTGTCCTTCTCCTCCTGCTCCTCGTCGTCGCCCTAGCCCCTCTCCAGCCAGCGACCGCAGCCTGGCAGGCGATCCAGCCAGGTCAAGGCCAGGCTCAGGGTCAAGGTCAAGACTTGGGGCTGGCTCGGAGGAGCAAGCGGAGCTGGGTGTGGAATCAGTTCTTCGTGGTGGAAGAATTTAAAATGCCCGAGCCTTTCAAGATCGGCAAGGTGAGTCGTTGTGAGTGCGAGATGTTCACTACCTCGCCCGGTATGCAGGAGAGCGTGGGGTCTATTCCGACCCTGACGCCTGCTGTATATTTGCAGTTTGCATGTCAATCTCTCTCCCCATGGCCGTGTGGATTTTTCTCCGGGCCCTCTGTTTTTTTTCCCTTCCTTTCCTCCACATTTAGAATCAAAGTGTTTTTGACTCTGGGTGGGGTTGGTAACTGGCTGGGCGTGTCTAGTGGGCAGGGCTGAACGCACGTGTCCTGGTTGAGCCTCCAATAAAATAAAGTCCTAAGCTTTGCCCCTTCACGACTCCTACTTGTCGAATGTCAAGACACGTGATTGACACAAGCTGTCTCTCGCTCTCTCGCTCCACCCCCTCCCCCCACACCGGCCCCTCCCCTCAGCTCCACTCTGACCAGGATCCTGGGGACGGATCAGTTCTCTACCTGCTCACGGGGGAGGGAGCAGGATCTCTCTTCACCATCGACGAGCACACGGGGGACATCCGAGTGTCCCAGGCTCTGGACAGGGAACAACAGTCGCTCTACACCTTGCTCGCGCAGGTAGAGGAGGGGGAGGGGTGGGTGGGTGGGGGGGAGGTGGGGGGAAGGTGGGGAGGGAGGTGCGAGGCAAAGGGGTGGAGGGTTAAGAAAGAGAGGGAATGAACAGGGAGAGTGAGGGAGGGAGGAAGCAATGGGTGAAGTGAAGGAGGGAGGGGAGGGAGGGAATCAGTGGAGGGAGGGAGTCAAGGTGAGGGAAGGAGGAGGGGGGAGAGGGGTGTGGGGGAGTAGGAAACGGGGGATGGAGGGGAGGGTTGGTGGGTGGTAGTCCCGGGTGACAATCCCTAACCAATCATTCCCTTCCTTAGCAGCCCCAAGGGCAGCACTTCCCCGCGTACCCTGCTGCTACAGAGAGGAGCGTTCGTCGCATGACAGCCAAAACCGATATTTTTAAATCCTCACGTCTGGAATTTAGCCAAAAACGAAGTGCAGTGCCTTCATTTAATATGACAGGGGTTGTTTTCGCATGCCTGTGTGCAGTGATTGTGATACGATTCTAAATCGTCCTCTCTGTGTGAGTCTATTTGTATCTACTTAAATGTGTGTGAGTCTGCAGGTTTCTGTTTGGGTCTACGGTTCTCTATGTTGTCTATGGGTCTCGATGTAATCTATGGATCTCTATGTGAGTCTATGGTTATCTAAGTGCGTCTATGGGTCTCTGAGTCTCTGCTTGAATCTATGGGTATATTTGTGAGTTTACGGGTCTCTGTGTCAGTCTATGGGTCTCTCTGTGAGTCTATGGGTCGTTGTATGAGTCTAAGAGTCTCTGTGTGAGTCTATGGATCTCTCTGTGAGTCTATGGGTCTCTGTGTGAGTCTGCGACTCTCTGTTTGAGTCTATGGGTCTCTATGTGAGTCTATGGGCCTATGTGTGAGTCTATGGGTCCCTATGATAGTCACTGGTGACCGGGCTTAGGCCATCAACTCGCTACACTAAGAGACCCCTGCGCAAACGCTGCGATTGTGGCTGAGACCTGGATTGGAACCAAGGCTTTGCAGCGGTGCCGGATTCTTGTCCCTTACCTCCGGGCTGCCACGCTCCCCCCCCCCCACCTCCTCCTGTGACAGACAGATATCCTCCGATATGTTTATGCCGTCCCTGTGGTGGTTGGCGTGGTTGTCTCTGATTTGCGATGTGGCAGGCTCATAAGTGATGCGGTTGACACACGAGCGATGCGGTTGACTCTAGAGTGACGTGGCTGTGACGTGGCTGTGACGTGGTGCAAGGTGGTGGACGCGGTGACCAGACAGCCCCTGGAGCCGCCCACGCAGTTCGTGGTCAAAGTTCAGGACATCAACGACAACGAACCGCGCTTCCCCGACGAGCCGTACCACGCCAGCGTGCCAGAGATGTCTCCCATCGGTGAGCCGCCGCTCACATCCGCTCACCATCCACCACCATTCGTTGTCCTTCCCCGCCCCCCTCACCTCCGATTAGCGCGGTTGGCTACGTGTGGTGTGAAAGAAGTTCAACATGCAATCATGCACACCACGCACCACACTCTCGCTTGCGCTACATCATCCCATGAACGTTGGCCCAACGTTGGTCCAAGGTCGGACCAACATTCGTTTGAATTTCGTCCAACGTTGGACGAACGTCGGGCCAACGTTGCGCCCACCACATACCCAACGTTGCCCCCGCGTCGGCCTTTTCACCCGGTTTATCCGCGCGCAGGATATTGAAGCAGCGTCTCTGCGGCTCTGTGGCGCAGTTCAGATCAGGGTGGAATAAACGGAGTGAGAAACGTCCGCGCGGCCTCGCGTTTTTTTTTTTTAGGGAGGTAAATAAAGAAAGAAAGGGACATTTTTTTTTGTTTTTAATTCGGCAGAGTGAAATATTTGGGCGGAATAAATTTTGGCCGAGAGCTGTTGGGTGATGAATGCCCGGGACCGTCCTGGTGGCTGCATTGCTGGATTCAGAGCGAGCGGGAATATCGGAGAGATTATGCGTGATTGAGATGAGCTCAAGTGGGGAGTGTCAGTGGAGGTGATAGAGTGAGTGAGGGTTGAGACACTTGGCGGAGGATGCGGCGGTGGTGGCGGCGGTGGTGGTGGTGGTGGTGTCGGGGAGTGGTGGCGGCAGCGGTTTGCACGCTGCGCTACGAACCCGGCGAGCCGAGTTCGACTCCCGCTCGCGGCCAACGCCGGTGGCGATTATCTGAACCGGTCCTGGGCTTCTCCCCCTAGGTCGACTCAGCCTCGAATGAGTACCTGGTGAGGTGTGTGAACATCGCCACTAGGGAGACAAAGGCGGCCGGGGGTGGTGTTGGCCACCCACCCCCATTGTGTGCCGTGCCGGCCTTCATAGGTGCTCAGTCTGTTAAAAGCTATACGGGGGGATCTTTGTCTTGAACAGGCTGTTGGGACAAGTTCTCTTAGCAAGCACCTATGAAGGCACAGGAGGGGAAGGGTGGCCAGCGACACGCCCGGCCGCCTTTGTCTCCCTAGTGGGTAATGTTTACTACACATCGGACCAACTGTTCATTTTTGATGCCGAGTCGACTTAGGGGAGGCTCGGGATGGTTCAGATAATCGCCACGAATGTTGGCCCTTAGCGGGAATCGAACTCCAGTCGCCGGGTTCGTAGCGGAGCATGCTAACCGCTCCCCTCTTTTGCAAACACCACCACCACCACATTTAAGGCTGATTCGACCAGTGGGAGCCTGAGGACTGTTTCAGACATCCTCCACTCGACGTCGGAGACCGTGAGCGGGAATCAAACTCAGGTGGCCAGGTTTCGTAGCGCGGTGCGCCACTGCCCCCCCCCTCTCTCCACCGCCCCCCTCCCCCAGCCTCACCCATCCCCCAGACAATTCACAAATCCATACCCTGCTCTGTTTATTTATTTACCGTTGCGTCAATTAATAAAATTTGTGTCGTTACGGGCCCGGAGATGATTGAGCAGAGACACTCGCAGGTCCCCACTCTGGGTGTGGGCGGCGATGCTAAATTGTATAACTAAACATTGGTACAACGTTCGTCAAACGTTGGAACAACATTCGTCCAACGTTGATTCAACGTTCGTCCAACGTTGGTCCAACGTTCGGCCAACGTTTGCCCAACGTTGGTACAACGTTCACCCAACGTTGTTACAACGTTTGCCCAACGTTGGTACACTGGAAAGACAAAGGCGGCCGGGTGTGGTTCTGGCCACCCACCCGCCAATGTCCGGTGCCGAGCCGGCCTTCGTAGGTGCTCGCTAACAGCGCTTGCCCCAACGGTCTGTTGAAGGCTACACGAGGGATCTTTGTCTTTGTAACAATAGCAATGATGGTAGCGACTGATTGCATTTATTCGGGAAACCCTCGCTGAGTCTCAAGACGATCGTTTCAGGAGGGTCCCGCCACATCGTCAATTCTACCAATCAGTGTTTGGCTCCACGATCGTCTCTCTAAAGCAGCTCAAACCTCCTGTAAATCACGTGGTTTGTGTGCCCCCCCCCTCTCCCCGCCCACAGTGAGAACAGACGCCGCTCCACGCAGCAGACTCTTACTCCTCCCTCTCCTCATCCCTCCCGACCCCTTTCGCTCTCCCGTGTCTCCGTTCACTTTCCACCCTCTCCGTCTGATTCATCATCTTTATCCCGTCTCCTGGATGCACGTCAAACTTCTTTCGCACATTCACCTTGGCCAACCGTGCCAATCCTTCTTCCCTTCCCCCGGTCCTCTCTATCTCCCCATGAACCACCGCATCCTTGACTCGACCCCTCTTCACGTCGTGTAGTCAAAGGGTGCAACAGTGTTCATCATCGTTAATGTGCGATCATCAATTCTTGAGCACCGTTATTGATTCTGGCCAGCGCCACAGCCTGCTGATTTTGTCTCTCCACTGCTGATGTTTACACTTCACACCAGGTACTCATTTGAGGCTGAGCCGACAGAAGGGGAGGCCCAGGACAGAATATGTCTTTGTGTGTGTCTCTGTATCCCCGTGTCTCCTCGTCCCGATGTCCCGGTGTCCCCATTTATCCGTATCCCCGTGTACCCGTGTCTCACACTTCCCCGTGTCCCCATATCTCTGTGTCCCCGTGTCCCCGTATCTCACACGTCTCTGTGTACCCCAGGAACGTCCGTCACTCGAGTCACGGCTACGGACGCGGACGACTCTTCGTATGGGAACAGTGCGAGGGTCGTCTATCGACTGCTAGAAGGACAGCCATACTTCTCCATCGATGCCAACACCGGTTAGACAAGCCTCCTGCTCCCCCCTCCCACCCCACGTGTCTCCCCACGTGTCCCCACATCTCCATTGTCTCCCATGTCCCTCGCCCTGTCTACATAATTTGGATAATTTTGCTGCTGTGAATGTCCACGCGATAAGCCACTTTGTTGAGCAATCATTTGTGACCAGGTCGCTTTTGAAAAATAAGCTCATAATAGCTCAGTGGGCCTTACCTGGTAAAAAAATAAGTGTTTTTTTATTTGTATATTTTTTTAAGTGATGTGTTTGCCTTTCCTATACTTTGCACTCGTATTTTTTTTATTGTTTGTTGTTGTAACGTTCTGACCTGCCCTCGACTGGATAACTGTGATAAAGAGCTGTACAGCTCATCGGACTCCTCCAGTATAAATATTATTATTATTATTACGAATCTCTGCCTGCTGCATCCCAATGTCCCACCTTCCATTCCTCCCCCTGTCTCTCCCCGTCTCTCTCCCTATCTCTCTGTGCGTCTTCCTGTCTCCATACGTCTCTCAATGTCGCTCCAATCTCCTCGTGTGTCTCACTCGATCTCACTCTCTGTCTCTCTTCTTTCTCCCGATGTCTCTCCATCTCAGCACGTCTCCATATCTCTCCCCATTCCCTCCCTCCACTCCGTCCCCTCTCTCCTTTCTGTCCCACCCTTACATCCCTCCCTCTCTCCTGCACCATTTCCTCTCGTAACCCTCCTCCTCCTTAACTCCCTCCCGACTCTCCCTCCCTCTCCTCCTCTCCTTCCGCCTCATTAATCAATTACAGCTCCTCACTTAATTAACGCGTGTTTCGTCACCTCCATGGGTGGCTGATGCTAAATTATCAAACGCATCCGCACGGTATGGATCCTGGATAGGAAACGGGCTGTTACCGATCCCGCTGCTGCTTGATTGATAGCAATCATAAACACGAGGACTCCTCGCGAACGGTGGCAGACAAAGGGCGGAGCCTCGGCCGGACTCGCGCGATCAGAACTCACAATGGGGGCAGTCGCTGAGACACTCACTGAGTCGGCTCCCCAGAGAATGGTGGAGGGAGGTGGGGTGGGGTATGCCCCCCCCCCCACCCACGTCCCCCCACCGTCTCGCTCATGCCCCCCTACCCCATACCTCACCCACCACCCCCCCACCTCCCTCCCCCCTGTTCACCTTTCCCTCCTCCCGTACTCCCACATACACCACTTGCCCGCCCCCACTTCCACCCCCCTCCCACCATGCTCACCTCCATGCTGATGATGATGATGCTGAAGATAATGATGACAATGAGAGTGTAACGCTGGTGACGATGACACTGCGGCTGATGATGATGATGACACTGCTGATCACGATGCTGACGATAATGCTGATGATGCTGATCATGATGCCGAGGATGATAATGATGATGCCGATGATGAAAATAATGATGCAGGTGATGTTGATGATGACAATGAGAGTGTAACAATGGTGACGATGACACTGCGGCTGCTGATGATGATGATGACATTGCTGCTGATGATGACATTGCTGCTGATGATGATGATGACACTGCTGTTCATGATGCCGCCGATAATGCTGATGATGATGATGCCGAGGATGATGATGACGCAGGCGATGCTGATGCTGACAATGAGAGAGTAACGGTGGTGACGATGGCACTGCTGCTCACGATGCTGACGATGGTTCCGCCGCCGCTGCCGCAGGAGAGATCCGCACGGCGCACTCCAACCTGGACCGGGAGGCACGGAGCTTATTCCGCGTGGTGATCGAGGGCAAGGACATGGCGGGTCAGAAGGGTGGCCTCACGGGGACCGCCACCGTCACCATCACCCTGGAGGACGTCAACGACAACGCGCCTCTCTTCCCGCAGGGTGAGGAGAGGCAGGGGGGGGGCTAGGGGGGGGGATGCGGGGGGGGATGCGGGGGAGATGCGAGGGAAAAACGGATGGGGGGTATGGGGGGGGGATATTGGGGGGATATGGGGGAGATATGGGGGAGATACGGAGGAGATATGGGCAACCGGGTGGGGGGGGGGGGGAGACGCGGGAGAGGCATGGGGGAGATACGGCGGAGGCACGGGGGGGGGGGGGGAGGGATACGTGGTGGGAAATATGATTGGCTGAACACCCCAGACGATTCCTAATAAATAAATATACAATTGTAATATTTGTTTCCTCCCTTGATCGCCATTCCCACGTGTGCTCTCTTATTTGCCGGTATCAAAGGGCAGACTTTTAAAATACAAGAATCATTGACCACAGCCACTGTGCGGCGATGATGGGCGTTTCTGCCAATATTTGGAATCTGAATTCTCGCGCTATTGACCCGAATCCTGGGCTGGCAGTGACACAGGCAGTAGCTCAAATAACGCACCAGAGGAGTGGGTGGGGGGCCGAGGTGGGGTGGTGGAGGGAGGAGGGGGGAGAGAGGTTGGGTACGTGTGTCTGTGGAGGAAGAGCACTTCATAGGTGCTCGCTGACAGCACTAGCCCCGACAATCCGTGAAGGCTGTGCGTGGGATCTTTGTCTTTGTGGAGGGAGTGAAGGATGCATGACGGGACGGATGCAAAGAGGGAGGGTGGTGGATGGAGAGAGCGGTGCAGAGAGGGGAGATATGGATGTAAGGATGGAGGGCAGGGAGAGTGTGTGTTCGTGTGTCTGTGGAGCAAGATAGGGAGGGAGGAATGGATGCAGGGAGGGAGATGTGTATGCAATGTAGAAGGGCAGAGATTGTGTTTGTGAATGAAGGGAGGGAGGGAGGGCGGAATCATTTAAAAGAGGGAGGAATGGAGTGAGGGTTTAAAGGGCAGGCAGGGATGGATGACGACGGGGAGAGGAGGGAGGGAGTAGGGAGGGGGGAGGGATTGGTGAAGTGTGCGATGGGAGACCGGGAGCAGGGAAGGCAGGGAGTGAGGGAGGCAGGGAGACGGAGGAGAGAAGTGAGTGAGAGGCGAGGGAGATCGGAGAGAGAGAGAGAGAGAGGCGAAGGAAAGAGAGAGAGAGAGGAGATGGAGGAGTCAGAGACGAGGGAGTTGGAGGAGAACGAGAGAGCGAGAGGGGGAGGTGGCGGGGAGACGAGGGAGCTCGAGATAGACGGAGCAGGGAGAGGGGGTAGGGAGTTGGAGGGGAGGGGTCGATGCTGGAGGGAGATTTCGTAGTGGTGGGGAGTGGAGGGACACGCGTTCCCGTTTCGCGAGCGGCATCCTTGATATTTTACTCGCAGCGTTTACCAATTACTCTTCGGAGGAGGGAGAGGTGACGTGTGGCGAGGCGGCGGGGGGGGGGGGGGGAGGAGGATGGGATGGAGAGGAGGAGGAGGACGAGCGAGGTTATGGTGGCAGTGACGTTGATGATGATGGTGCTGTCGGTAGCGTGAGACGTACGTTCGCAGAGCCCTCCCCTTAAGGGTGCGGTGAGTCGGGGCGACCGCCCGGGGCCCCGCGCTTTGATGGGCGAAGGGTGGGGGGGGTGTTGCAGGGGGGTAAACACTTCACCGTCACGGTGTCATCAGATGTAATACTTTCCCTGTTTAGTCTGAAGGCGCTGGAGGGAGGTGGGGGGGTGGGGGTGGGGGTGGTGGCCACACTGTGGGAGTTCCCCCAAGGCACCCCCCACACCGCCCACTCGTCTATGGATGCCTCTGGCTATGGGATGATCAACGTTGATGATGCGAGGGGACTCCACGTGGGCGGGAGCCGTTTGAGCTCTCGAGCGGCAGATCCACACGGAACCCCCCCCCCCCTCCACCCACCACGCAGCTTCCTTAGGCGGCGTCACTCCACTGCTGGATGAAGTCGCCCCGCTGGTGTTGGGGGGGGGGGGGGCGAGGGGAGGGGTTTTCGTTCTTGTCCATACTTCACCGCGATGGTCGGCATGGAAGGGGGGGGGGTGTGGGTGGGTTTTGCGTACCGGCTTTGGAGCGCCGCGCTAACGGTCAAGGACGGGCGCTGTTTAATTTCTCCGTGGTGTGCGGACATTTACCACGAGCCCGCAACCCACACGGTTTACCCCGGATTCTAGTACAAGGGACATTTAGTTTTCAGGTCCATACGGCGTGCAGCCGTTTCAATACCAGCAAACGCATTTGATGTCTATTCGTTTGTGTTTCCCCCTTTGTGATGGGACTTTGTAGGATGAACGTTGAGATGTATAATGGGCACGGGGTGACCAATACGGTTTGGATTGGTCTGTAATAAGGTAGGGCACTAATAATAGCTTGACAGGTGTGCTTTTACGCAGCCTCATCGCTGTTTTCAAGAGGGTCCTGTATCGGGATATTGGGTCAAAATGATTCGTTTCAAACTGTACCTCTTACAGCGATGCCAAAACCCGAACCCATAGCCGTAACCCAAGACTCATCACTCACTGTGCTCACATTCTCTTGTCCGTGTGGCCTGTCTGTGTGTGAGTTGGTGTATGTGGGTTGTGTGTGTGTGAGTTGTGTGTGGGTTGGTGTGTGGGTTGGCGTGTGGGTTGGTGTGTGGGTTGTGTGTGTGGGTTGGTGTGTGGGTTGTGTGTGTGGGTTGTGTGTGGGTGGGTTGTGTGTGTGGGTTGTGTGTAGGTTGTGTGTGTGTGGGTTCTGTGTGTGTTGGTTGTGTGTGTGCGTTGCCACATTTATTCAATCTCAGAGCCGCTCCGCACTCCGTGGGCTAACAGTCATGCGCTAGGCCTGATATCTCGCTCACCACCATCACCACCTTCACAATCACCACCATCACCGCCTCAACCATCACCTCACCCATCACCACCTCTGCCATCGCCGCCACAATCACTATCACAACTGCCACCAATCACCATAGCCATCGGCATCATTATCGAATATCACCCACCACCTCCCCTATCCCGCACACCACCATCACCACTGCCATTACCACCACCACCACTCTTTCTACCATCATCGTCTCCACTACTCATCACCTCCGCCATATCCCCCACACCACCACCACCGCCACCGCCATCTCCGCTATTCAACATAACCACCACCACATACACCAGGATCGCAACCCCCTCTCATCCACGCACCACCACCATCACCTCCCCTATCATCCCCACCACCACCACCACCGAATTCCAAAAAAAAACACGCGGACGGGTGATTCAATGCGCCGGTCCGGTCTCTAGGCAACACGAGCGAAGAGGAGGAGGAGGAGGAGACGGCAGCGAGTGAGCGGGAGGGAGGGAGGGAGGTGATGAAAAAAAGAGATTTAGTTGTGCGACTTGTGATGAGGTGTGCGCGTGTGTGCGGCATCAGTAATGGGGGGGGGGGGGGGGGGGGGAGGGAATTTCTATCGGGAGGGAGGCTCCTGACTATTGTGATGAAGATGGTGGTGGTGGTAATGATGATGACGTTGCTCCGACATCGAATCGGCTTGTTGGGTGCGTGTGCGTGCGTGACGCAGTGGGGAGCGGTAAACGGTTAGCGCGTCGCACGACAGAACCCGCGTCCCGAGTTCGATTCCCGCTCAAGGACAAACGTCGGTGGCGGATATCTGATACCGGTCCTGGGCCTCCCCTAGGACGACTCAGCCTCCGATGAGTACCTGGTGCGGTGTGTACTGTAAACATCGCCACTTGAGGGTAAACAAAGGCGGTCGGGCGTGGTGCTGGCCCAACAACCCCCTCGTGTGCCATAGGTGCTACTCGCTAACAGCACTTGCCCCAACAGTCTGTCAAGGCTAGACGGGGGGGGGGGGGGTGGATCTTTACCTTGTGTGTGCGTGTGAGTTTGTGTTGCGTGCGTGAGCGTGCGATGGAGTGCGAGCGGTGATGCGAGCCGACTCGAGATGCCGGCGATGAGTCTCATTCGCAAGAGTGGCCTGGGTCTGTGTTGTGTGCGTGCTTGTGTGTGAGTATGTGGGAAGCGGGAGTGTAGTGGTTAGCGCACTGCTTACCGCGAACCCGGCCAAAAGAGTTCGATGGCCCGCACACGGCCACCAACACACGTGACGCATTGCTGAACCGGTGTTGGGCATCCCCCTTGATCGGCTCGGCCTTAGGCAAGTACCCGGTGCAACAATGTGAACATCGTCACTTACGGCGAAAGACAAAGGCGGCCCGGCGCGTTTCTGGCCACCGACCTCCCCCCCCCCCCCCACCTCGCGCACCGTTCGGGCCTTCATCAGCGCTGCTCGCTGCCAGCACTTGCCCCCTGACAGTCTGTTCAAAGGCTACTCGGGGGATCTTTGTCTTTGCACGTCGGTGTTTTCGCCGCGTGCGTCCGGGTGCACGCATGCATCACCGGGGTCGGCCATTACCACCCACCCTGCCCTAATTGCGCGCTAATTACCGGGTAATTAGAAGCAGGGAGGGGACAGGGGGTGGGGGGAGGGGACAGGGGGTAGAGGGGGGGGTGTGTAACACATTTTGCGGGTCGCAGAGATGCTCATGTGCTTTAAGGGGTGGGGGTCATCTAGAATAGTGAAGCTTCTCACGGATGTAGATGACTCCCACCGCCCTCCAATCCCCTCTAGCGTTCTCCTCACCAGAGACAGCCACATCAGTCGTAGCATCAGCAGCAGCCCACGCCGTTGTACGCTGTGGATAGCCCCACGGGCTGGAAATGCTTGCAGGCGACTATTGGTTGAATTACAGACGCAACACGGTGGCTAAGTATTTGCAATTGGTAACGAGTGCTCACAGATCTCTATGAGAGTGAGTGGAGGTCTCTGTAGCTCACAGGTCTCTATGAGAGTGAGTGGAGGTCTCTGTGGCTCACATATCTCAATGAGAGTGAGTGGAGGTCTCTGTGGCTCACATATCTCAATGAGAGTGAGTGGAGGTCTCTGTGGCTCACAGGTCTCCAGGAGAGTGAGTGGAGGTCGCTAGCTCACAGGTCTCTATGAGAGTGAGTGGAGGTCTCTAGCTCACAGATC